GTCTGCATCACGTCATTAATATGAATTTCAGAACCTACTTAAAAAATTTATGACGATAGCCATTAAGCATCATTTGCACACAGATGTAGAAGCGGCTCGGCAGCGAAACCTAAAAAAATTATCTTCCTTCTGCTAACCGAAATATTGATGATAACTACTGTTCTAGTCTGGATAACCAATGCTGTAAAAATCAATGTGAAATGCTCCTGACCAAGGTGGATGATTGCATTGATATTGAATAATCGTGACTAGTGACGAGCAAGTAACGCTTCTCCTCTGACCAAAAAATCATTTTAAGCGGAGTAGTTTGATAGCGGGATACCGTTGAGATTAACAGCAGTATTATTTGCCTTAGCAGATTGTAACCATAAATCTCTCACTCCATTCAAATGAGCAAGAACACGGACGTCACCGGGTATACCAGAACCATACTATTACGATGAGCGAATTTCTGATGACGTTAGTTGTTGCAATTTTTGGCATAAAGCTTGGAAAAGGACATTAACCCAAATTTCTTTACCAAATGTCCCATTTCATCTAGTCTTATCATTTGGGACCAGTTGCTCAAAAATGAATGGAAAGTACATTACATCACAGAAATACGAAAACACACGACTTGATCCCCATATAACGAATGACAACTGTGGCGAAAATGCTGCCAAGCCAGTTGTGATCATTCATGAACAAGATAAAAACGGTGCTTGATGTAAAAATATTCATCGATATTTAGAGAATCAAGCTCGCAAGACTGGAAAAACACTGCGAAAACCTACAAAATACTGCCCTACACCGTGATTTTCTGAGCCACTGATTCCCTTTAGGTCACTGAGCACTAGATTTGTTTCTCAAACAGCATTATCCTTGTAACCCCACAGACCAAATTACATAACTAAGAAGTGCCAGATGTTTGATTTACTCATCTCACCATCAGTTTGTTCACTAAGCGCTTACCATTTGCATTTGTAACAGAAATTCACTCTATGAAATAACCGAATCAACGTATAAGACATCAGCCATCATACATTGTGATCTCACACGCTGCAGCGCAGTTCAGAAAGGAAGATATACCTCATTTCTGTCTTCTAAGAAATGCCAAGGATTATTACAGGAAAAATAGTTCTGCCACTTATATTCCCGACCATATGCTTAGTCAACAACTAGTTCTCATGACCCAATATAAAATCAGTGCTAAGGAAATATGACCACGTCATTTCTCAAAATCTAACCAGTACCGTAAATCTCATACGCTGGGGCGTGGGGGGTAGGTGATGGAGGAATCTTGAAATACACATTGTAAGTGGAAATTGTCAGTGGCAAACAAAAGAGGACTGCAATCTCACTATTAGCTTTCCAGATTGGTTAATTTATTCTTGGAAACAAAAAGCAACCAGAATTAACTTAATCTGGTAAAGGATTATTAATTTTATGAAAGGGAACTTCAGGCAGACTTGTAGCTACAACATCAACACATTCTTGACATACGGAATCGATAAATATATAAATCAACTTTTACGACATACTTTATGTTCCGACGTTAAACTGGAATAGTATTTTATTAAAAAAAGAAAATAATGCGAACACACTTAAGTCGATTATCTTATGCCGATAATACCAGAATCTATTAATTTCTCGATTTTGGAAGCGATGTCTGGATTTTGCAAATGCCTAAATGCGAAACAGAATTTTAAGCAACGTCAGCTTAAACCATAGCACTCTAAATCAGAACTAAACTTACTCTTTGACTGCCTTAGGATCTTGGGTCATTTGCTCCAAGATCAGACGCATGGCTGGATCAGCCAAAATCGCTTGAATCTCGGGATCTTCTAGAGCTTTTTTCCTCATTTCCTCAGGGTTGCTGCTGCAAGAAGCTGTAGCCTCATTCACTCCATTAAGTGCTTCCTAAAAACCCAGTTAATGCGTTAAATTGTACAAGCAAACAAGTCATTCAAATTCTAAGTTTCAAACTTACGCATCCAGCATAAGCAGCGTTCATAATAGGAAAAAATACGTCAGGGTAAGGTACTGAGAAAGTCCTCATTTTATTTAAAATAGTGGAGAGTAAAGGCCCATGTTACCCACACTTGAACATGACCAGTCGTACTACAAACAGTTATATCCATGTATGCCATCACATGATTGACTAGAATAATAACATTCAAAAACAGGTAAAAACATGCGTTATCAGAAGCAGCCGTTAAGGGATAATACAATACGCAAGTCGTGGTAGACAACTACCAACGGTTTAAGTTCTGCTCGACTCGCTGTGAATGAACAGTGGTAAAGAAAAGTCAAGAGGGAGTAGAAGTTACAGTGTGTTATATTCGTGGAAAGGATCAGGAAAATGTTAGGCAAATTAAATGATAACCCTGAATTGCTTGTCTCGCGACGAACTTAACAATGCTGAAACAGGCAACTGCCTCTAAACACGCAAATAGGAAGCATATGCGCAGCAATAACTGAAAAATGAGGTAGTGAAATAAAATATCATTTTCATACATGTCAAACAAAGAAATTCCGCAGTGGAACAGTATCAAATGCTTGAATATGATGAAATATACCGCCCACATATCAAAACCGATGGCTAAAAGAACTTCAAAGCTCTTACGAATATAAAAGCCACATTACTACTCATCAACAACTCGACATAAAAGATTAATAATAATAGCATGGCCGATAGTTAATAATCATACTTCATTCTTAAATTACATCTCCACATTCTTTTCTTATCCTTGTACTTTTAGGGTTTTTTGCTATTTTAATTCCTGCCTGTTGGCTTCTTTCTTACCTTTAAGCTTTGTTTCATTCCTAGACCTTCATCATTTATAAGTCTTCGCCGGTCTTTCTAACATATTCGTGCATCGTTTGCTTCACTTTCTCGCTAATCTTAGTATTTCGCTTCTGTTTCTTCTGCCCCACCTACTTTGCTTCCAAAGAGCCTTAATATAAGCTCCGCTACAATGCTTTACTTTTTTTGTAATCAAAATCTCTACCTCTGTTTAGTCTTCCTTTCATCCCGCCTTCCCTGATATCTGCCTTCCACTTATCCAGTTTTCTTGATTTTTGACTCTCCAGTCTTTCGTCCCATTTATGTTATACTTTGTCGTCTCTTCGCTATGCCTCAGTACATGCTGTATTAATGAGTTCCTTAATCTCTGCTTAAGCAGTGCATGTTTTTAAGAACCGCTATATTACAAAACCTACTGGTTACTTCCTTAGGTAAAATTGCCTCAAAACCTGGAAACAATTTATCACAGTCTTTCTCTCACTACTTTTACGTTGGCGTTACCTGACTTCCGGGTTCCAATTTCAGTGCTTCTTCGTAAGCCTTTAACGCTCGACTGGGTTCTTTCATGGCCATCAGCGCTGCTCCTCTGCGTATGTACGCTTTAACGTATTTCGGGTCACGTTTAATCGCCTCGTCGCAGTCGCTCAGCGCCAGGTGATACTCCATGAGTTTCGTATAACATGCGGCGCGGTTACAGTAGAGCCGCGCGTCGTCGGGGTTGCGTAGTATCGCCTCTTTGTAATGCTTGATCGCATCCGGATAATTACCTGACAAATACGATTCACATAAGCTAGCCCATTTATCGGCTGATCGACTGCCTGCGTTTACGCAAATCACCCCTGATTACCTTCGCTGTAGCACTGGTTGCCCTTCTCTTTCTCCTGAAGGGACAGCTCGGGGTTGATGTACGCTTTTTTGTCATGCTCCTTCTTCAGTCGTTCGATTTCGTGGCGGCGTCGGACGACGTTCGGATCGCGGTGCTCAGAGAGAGACTTGTCAAAATAGTAGATCGCCTTGTCGTAATTGTCAAGTTTCAACGACGCGTTTGCCGCCCTTGCGTACGCTCTGAAGTAAACACGGGGATAACGTAACGGCACGATTTTTAACTACATTCAATGAGCAGGCAACACGACGCGTACTTGCCAATCAGTTTGTAATCCGAACGATTTTCTCGCCCAACTTCCACTGCTTTATCACAAGACTTAATACACTCTTCGAACTTGCCTTCTTCGAAGAACACGGCTAGAAAAATGTTGTCATTCAATTGCTTGTATTTGAAACAAACTAGCAGCCAACAGAAAAAATTTTTTTTCTTACAACAGATCACATGTACGATGCTCTTTACTTTGAGACTGAGCAATAATAATTAGCCGAAACATTAGCAGGAAAATAATATATTTAGGCTAAGTTTTCTGCCGATTTGTAATTGTAAAAATACTCAAACGTCTGCCACATTCATAATTTTATATAACTTCAACATTACCATTAATAAAGACTACTGAAGTAATATCACTCTGTTCAGAGAACTGATAAGATCAGTATACCGGCTAATTCGGCGAATCATTTTTTCATTGGGTTTTTCTCTCCCTTCTTAACATAATAGGTCATGCATTTTTCAGATCTTCCATTCGATTTCGTTATGAGTCGTTTCCCATTCAGACGGCACATGGCATGTAACGCAATCCTACCTTGCTTGCTTCGAACGTTACTACGGCCCTTTAATTCTCATCCCTTATATAAGGAATCATAATATACAGCACAGGCTTTTTAGACGACCAAAATATGAATTAAAAAATAGTCGCATTAAGTTTGATCTTATGAACAGTAAAATTAATCACTATCAATTCTGTGCTGAAGGAGGAACACCATTGCAGGTTTCAAAAATTTCACTTCACTTCAAAAACACTTCACTTAAATATATTTTCCAGGTTTCTAACAGTCACATTTTGATCTGTTAGCATTAAAAATTTGCTTGTCCTTTTCAATTAACAGTACGGTTAATCCCATTCTTAATTCATGATTCAGACAGTTGAGTGTTTTGTTCAAGCATAGGTAGTCATACTGAAAACAGCATAAACACAGCATTTTTATCCACAACAAAAGATTCAGTGAATCGGATGAATGACCATCATCGACATCTCGCCCTGCTTCTCACGAACCTAATTTCAGGCAGAGAGACAAACTAGGTTCAGAAGTCTCCACCATCTAGCGAAAGATAAAAATAACTGTCTAAGCCTACCCCTCACTTCCTTTAAGAAGGCTCACGAAATACGAGCCGAAACAGTGGTACAGTTCACACATCTGATTAACAAAATTCTTAGTGTTACCTAGAAATAAACCATAACGTAATGAGATTATGCACAATTCATTAATTCACTAGCTATTCCCTGTCATACTTTAAAAATTTACCATTTCAATATATTAAGTGGCATTTTATTTAAATCCACTCCTTATTCGCAATAATCATTAAAAATAGCATTCAAAGACATACGCTGATATAAAGATATTAGCAGTCGAATCACTCACAGCATTCAAGGATTACTTGAACAATTTTGTAGCTTTCCTCTGATGTTCGGTCCTTACATAATTCTTCAGATTAATCGAAAGATTGGACAATGCGCAATGCTCGATACTGCCTCGTATCAGTCTTTACCCTACAACTCTCAAGGACCGTAGTTTAAGGACTGACAAATCTACTCATATTTTCAATGAAACATTATTCTTTTGGAAGAACATAAACATCAACATTACACTGTGATGTTATAGTGCGTACAGTAGTTTATTGCCCACAGCATATTTTCCAGACAGAAATCGCATATAAGTATATATGGTGACTGAAACTTTGAGGTCATTCATGAACTAACATTGTTATAACATCTTCACCGTTGAACATACGTGGCATCACACTTTTAAAAATGGGTAAATGATGAACGACTTAAGCATGTCACAGCTCCAAGGTGCCGTCATTCATGTATAACAGACGCATTTCTATCGTTCAATGACTAGAATACCTTACTATTCTAGTTACTCGCAACAGTTCGCTCGATGTTGAAAGACCCAGTATTCGCTACGTCGCATATCGTCATACTCTGCACTATAATTATTTAAAAGAATGGCGGTCAGCACGCAGGGGCATCTTGCTTTCCGGAAGCTGTGCATAAATGCGTTTCTATGCCATTAGCTAGGACCGTCTGTTTATGTTAAGCGGCAAAATCTGCAACTACGTGACAAGCAGAGCGTGTAATATTCTGTTTCCTTCCCACAGAGGGGTATTTATTTATTCATTTCGGAAAGAAGAAAGGGGAGCGATATACAGGGGAAAACTCAAGGTCTCTCGGTTCTCAGTTCATTGTTTTATCGACTCACCACCCCGATCCATATCTACAAATAAGGCTGCTTCTGCTTCAAATTGATAAAGACTCAATGTCGCACAATTATTATGCATTTCACATCTTTCCTTGTTACATAACAGCCATAACCATTGACTCTCTGAATCATTAGCATTTCTGCTATCAAATGACTAACAACAACAGAAAACACGTTGCAATCTAAATCGCAATCGACAAATACGTACCTGCATTATTTGAATAGAAAGTTATGTTAGTTGGATCCAATTCGATTGCCTTTTCATAATGTTGGTGCGCAGTAGCGAAATCCTTCTTTTTGTACGCTTCATTTCCCAACTGCTTTTGTTGCATTGCCTAAAATATGTGAAAGTCGGTGTCATCATTAGGCTCTTCGCTGAATAATAATCGTCATGGCCACCTTTTTCTTCTCATCACTCTCTTGGTCGACGTCCATTGGTTCGTCGGTCTTATCGTGCGACTGAGAATTACCATCGGTTTCAGATTCACGTTGGCCTGACGGCTGATGTCTTTGCATATTGTCCATGTCGATACCAAGCAACACGGACATGACTTGAAGAAGACGCGGATCTTTAAAGCTGAAACCATGCAGTGTCAGAAAACACATTACACCAAGCATAGTTCAAAATTACTAATGGAGGAAGCATCACCTGGACATTTTGAAATTTGAAGCCTTTTTTACTCGGTTATCTTTTGCATTGGCCTGTGAACTAGCGTAGTTTATCCTGTGACTTTACTAGTACACTTAAGTACTACTGCTGCTCAACGTATAGGAGTACCAAGAAAGTTTGTTGGGCTACCCTGACTGGCGGACAGACAGTATTAACTACTCCTGTATTTGCTGTATTTACAAAATTGAAATTGGCAGAAAGCTGTGAAAACGGACAAATAGACAGTATGAAGAACCGCTTCGGTTAAAGAACGATCAACGAGAAATTACATGTAATAGAGAATCAAAACATTTGCATTCAATTACGTACTCTGCCAGCTCAGGATTCGTTGACATTTGACGAAGCTTCTGGACAAATTCCTCGTCTTTCAGTAACTCCCTGGTCTTCGGATTCATCGCCAACTTTGTGATCATATTCGGGTCATCGAACAGGTTTGGAAAACCACCTGTACGGTTTACAGATCACCATCACAGCTCAGGAGATGCACAGCTGCGCTCTCGTCATACCTTCTGATCCTGACGATGATACAGCGGCCTTTTCGTTCCTTAAACTTTCTTTCAGCTGTTCATTGTCCGGATTGTACTTTAAGCCTTCCTCGCAACACTGAACAGCTTCCTCATGACGGTTCATAAAGGACAGTGCAGCGACCTTGCGAGAGTAACCCTGAAAAACCAACACAGCTCTAACAGAGACAAGAGCAAACTTTTGACATAGCAGCGGACGATGAGGGTAAGAGCAATACAAAAAATTTTTAACTTGAACTCATTATTTAAATTCAGCAATTTTAAGATCAGACCTCGGGATGTGTTTCTGGACATTGACAAGAACTACTCTGCACATGCAGGTAACTAATAAACCATTTGACTGAAAAAGGCAGAGGTTATATCTTGAATGGCCAGCGGCGTTTAGCGTCAGCTGACCTGAACCACTGTTACCAAAGCAGAGCTAAGCCTAAACACTAAGCTATCTGTATTAAAGTCTATCATCATCCCCATCCTTACCTACGGTTATGAGTTGCGGAATATAATCTTCGATCCAGGGGTCAAGCGGCTGAAATGGGCTTTCTAAGCTGAATCGCCGTGCTCACGCGTCTCAGCAAGATCGGGAGGAGTTGAAATATCCGAGCGGCTTGGTATACAACCGCTCCTTCTCAAGATTGCGAAGTCACAGCAATGATGGTTTCAGCGCGTCATGTGAAAGCTTTCAGAAAAGAAAGCACACAACTGCCACTTGCTCAAATCGAAAACCCAAGAGAAAGCCTTAACGTTGGGCAATATGTATGGAATGAATCTGGTCCAGACTTGGGCCATTTTCTGCCAAAGCTCAAATGCTGGCACAGAATCGAAAACTTTCGAGATATCAACTAACGCGTCTATCAACCAACCAACCCGAAAGGACAAGCGATCATCGAGTTGAGGCAGAACAATAACATGCCATTCAAATTTGACACCGAATGAAATTCCGACTAGTCATGTGTTAAATATATCTCGACATGTCATACAGAGGCCTGCATGAATTTACAACTAGTGTCATACGCTGACTCCCCCTTGGCCTCATTTCTAACGAATCCCCTATTTAAGATACACGGATCATATTTTAACCATCTATTCAATAACAAAATGACATGACATTGTAA